ATATGTCGTATTTTGACCTAAACCTTTACATTCAGAATCCTTTGTGCAACTTTTCCAATAATGCGTGTATTATGTTAAAATGAAAGAAAGAAAGAAGAAGGAAGGAAGGAAGGAAGAAAAGAGGAAAGAAAGAAAGTAGGGAGGGAGGGAGGGAGGGAAGAAGAAAAGGAGTGTTTGTGTATTTTTCTGCCCTGGTGAGTCAGGCTGGCCAGGGTTCCAGTGCAGGCCTCAGCTCCTGGTCCAGGCTGCTGTATTGACAGGAGCTGAGACTTGGCCACTGCCCTTCTTTGTCAAGGAGACTTCAAATCACAGTCCCCTGAGCCTTGCGAGAGTGGAGAAAGCAGCTGAACAGCATGCTCTGCTTGTGGTGTGAAAAATAAACCCTTGACCAAAGGCACAGGCTGCAAACTCACAAACAACCCCACCCCCAGCTTGGCGGAGCTGCTGTCAGCTCTCATGAGCTCTTCTGACTCTGAGATTCCTGGGCTCTAACAATTGCTCTGTCCCCTCAGTCCTCCCGGCTCCTCCTACAGTTGGCTCCCTTTCCTGTGAGATGAGCTGTCACAGCTGGCCAATCAGACTGCCACCCAATCAGCTACTCCTTTTACTCAGACCCCTGACTGACCTTGTTCTGTCTTTGTCTTTCCCATTCTTCTGATCCTCCGGCAGTTGAATCTCCTACCCCTGCTGTCTGATCCCACCGCTTGTCTAGTCAGCACGTTAGACAGTTTGATTAGCTGCCCCTTCCCCTCACCCTGCCAGCTCTTCCTGCTGCTAGCAGCTGTGCACAGGGCCTGCGAGTAACTCACTATCAGTTCCTTCTGACCCTCCATTAGTGCTGCTGGCTGATCAACTTAATATATTTCTCAGCAACTCTCTGATCTACTGCTGTCTCCCTCTGCTGTAGTCCTCTGATGAGCCTCCTGAAGTCTTCCCTCTCTGTCACCTATGTGATTCTCTTGCTGTTAATTGAACCGTCTGGTGTCCTGTGGCAGGCGCTTTTTCATTAGCCCTTCGAGGCTAGGGTTACCTGGGTGGCTACCTATGGCAAGTAGTAACACTTGAGTGCAGGCAGAGTTCAAGCACCCATGTCACAGCTTCCCCCAAATCCCAACAGCTGGTGTTGCTGTTTGACTCCTTGTATCTAGTGAGCTGCATCAGCAGTTCCATCATTCTTCATGGGACAACCTGACTTTTAGGATTTTGTGACTAATTTTTGAGGTGTTTCCTGGGCATCATCTTCTTCCTCATTTTCCCTCTGAGTAATACTTTATTATAGTCACAGTTCCTGACTGAGAATCTATGAGGATTATTTGAATAAGAGGGGTGATACGATCTGCTTTACATGCTGAAACCATTTTGTTGCTGGATGAAGAACTGTGGACGCAGGGAAACTAGTTAGAAGGCTATTATATTGTTCCTAAAAATGAAGGTGGCTTGGATTAGAGGGGAGCTGTAAAAGGGATGAGAGATGGTCAGATTTGGGATATGTTTTGAAAGTAGAGACCGTAGAACTCACTGCTGGATTATGTGTGGTTGTGAAAAAAAAGAGGAATCTAGACAGTGTTTACTAAGTGAATAAATTGAATGAAAATTTGCTGGAGGGACCTTTTCAAGATTTAGCACAAGTACTTTGCACAGAGCACACTGTCTGGCACATATTAAATTTGCAATAAGTGATAGGAATTATTTTTATTTTTATTATTATCATTACTCTACAGGCACGTTTTAAACCCTAAATAGGTGAATGTATCAGGTAGTATTCTTGGTTCTATAATAAATATAAATTTCAGAAAGACAACTTCCCTCATAATGGTTTGTCCATAGGTGATTAGTAGGTCTCCCTTGCTTTTGTCTATGTTTCTTTCTTAATAATTTACATTTTAGCAAACTTACGTCATATGTCTTATCTGTTCCACTTTTGATCTTCATTTTACCCTAGACTTGTTTCTGAATTCACCATCTTCCTTATTTCTGCTCTTTTCATTCACTTTTTTTTTTTTTTTTGACCGGCCTTTCTAGGCCATCTCTTTATTTGTCCTTCCTCTTTCTAACTGTATAAAGTAAATAATTAATAGAAAATAATATTTCCAGGATGTGGACTACATATGGTAGGAGCATGTAATTAGGGTGCTCAACAATGCCTGGATTTGAGACTCAGCATTTTTAAATGAATATTTATATGGAAAAACAAAATTAAACATAAGGTTTTTAAAAAAAATTAAAGAAATGCATTAGGTAATAGTTACAGTAAAGAATACCCTCTAAGAATAGGAGTAAAAGCTGTTTGGCTTCCCTTGGTACCACCAACTCATAGAAGATCTTAGCTGTAAACAAGTAGATCTTAGTTGTAAACAAGTTGTATAATGATGCAATCTCTGACATAATTAAAACTGGGTAAACCATAATAGGTGTGTTCCTTGAATAGTTTGCCAAGTATTTGTCCAGGTCTATTATAGCTACTGAGCAAATGGGTTGGCATGAATAGTTATGTCCTTAATGTGTACATCATTAAGAGGTCGATATGTCTTCTCATTTACTGGTAACTTCTCCAATTCATCTAGAGTCTCCAGACCATCTATTACCTTTCCAAATACTGTGTATTTCATGTCCAGATGTGGCTGCTTCCCATAGGTGATGAAGAACTGAGATCCATTGGTGTTTGGGCCATTATTAGCCATAGATACAACACCTCTAACGTTGTGCTTAAGATATTCACTGTATTCATCTTCAAATTTCTTGCCCCAGATACTGCTACCTCCTCTTCCAGTACCTGTTGGATCTCCTGTTTGAACCATGAAACCCTTGATATTTCTATGAAATATACAGCCATTGTAGTAATTACTGGCACAAAGAGCCAAGAAATTTTCACATGTTTTGGGTGTCCTCTCACAGAAGACTTCGATTTTAATATCACCTACATCTGTATGCAGTGTCACCGATTAACCACTTCGATTAGCACAGCGGTTGTTAAAAGAGCAAAGGTGCAATCGCAGTTGCCCCCACGGGTCTGCAGATTCGAAATTAAGTTTCTTCAGGCCACCGGAGGTCGAGCAAGGGACCCATTAGAGAGAACGCCCCTCACCTGCTCGCCTCCTCCCTCCGCCCCCTTCTCCCTGTCTCAAACCAAACGACTAGAACTAGGGAGACACTAATTTCTCCCCACCAGGTACACTTTTGACTATGAAAGGGTCAAAATTATCTTTTAATAATTACACTAGGACAACAAGCATAACTCTGGTCATCCTCTAGAAGTGCCTTGGGCTCCTCATTCACTTTTATTCTTTATGGAAGCTTGAGTCCATATGGAGTCCTCTTCTGCAACATTTTATATTCTTTCAACCAATTTGATATATCAGTTATGTTACATTAATTTTGTAAAATATCATAAATCTGTTGAAAAGAATAAAGTGGATTAATGTGGACTAACAACAGTGATTTTCCAAGTTAAAAAAAAGAGCAAGTTATAGAAAAAATACAAAGTAGTGTCAACTGGAAAAAAGTGCACAACCTAGTTGAGAATTATTTTTTATTATTTGGTGGACATACTGAGGACTTAAGCCTGGGAAACAGTCTCTTAGATAGCTCTAAGGGACTGTTCCAAAGAAGTAAGGGAAGAGCCAGGATATGTAGGAGTTTTTGCAAAAGAAACCAGGACTGTTAATTAAAGAAAAACAGACATCTCAGCTTACTGAATTTAGCCCTTTTCTGTATATGGTAAGATGAAAGAGTCTGGGCTCACTGAAATCATTTCTTTCATATGCACTTTAAGTATCTAGGGCCAATATCCTGTTTTCTCCATCCTGAATCCCCTCAAGGTGCACCATCCGAGGTAGGGCAGGATGACTGCAGTGGCTGTTGGCTTTATGGCCCCAACATCCTTTGTTCACTGATATGGCAGGTGACAATCTTTGTCCATAGTAGCATAAACTTGAATAATATGTTCTAAAATAAAAGAATACTTTTTTTATTTTATGAGAGATATAACTCTCATATCTAAAACAGTAGGCTAGATTACACTTTGCAAATCAACAAACTAAAGATCTCAATAGATTAAAACAAGAATTTAGTTCTCCCTCATGCCTTAAGTCCACCAAAGAGTAGAAGGGAACTCTACTTAATGCTGCCTTCACTACAGGACCCAGGACATTGGGGCCTGGGGTTAATGGAAATGTTCACTTTTAAACTATATACTTTTCCTCAATATGACATTTAACAAGGGATACACAATATTCAGGAACTACTATGTAAATAAAAAAAAATTTTTCTGAGAATGGAACAAGGATAACATATAAAAGTTATATGAAAAGGCTTTTATATTATGAATAATTTCTCTTCTTTACATTTATTTTCTTAATTAAAAATCATATTATTTTAGAAGATAATTCAGTGCTTTCACATTATGCTGAATGCTTGTGGAACATTGGCTGTTCATGAAGCCTATTTTTTTTTTTCCCTATAAAGCTTTTGCCCTTTCATTGAGTAATGGGGAAGAAGGTTGATTGAGTTAGTTTGCAAGCAAGCAAGCATCCCTTCAAAAGAAGTGAAAACATAAAAAAGAATTTTTTTATAGTATCTAGCGGAAGATTTCTCTACTCCACTTCTTCTGCAAAAGGGCCCTACTATAGATAGCTAAAGCTAATGTCTGTAAAGATGAGAGGAATTATTTTCCAGTGCTTTCTGTTAGTAAAGGCTGTGATGTCTGGAAATTACTAATGGCCAAAGTCTTTGCAGAAATTATCAGATGTCCAGAAGCATCTGGAAAATATAGGAACCCTGAGAGGGAGAGAGTTTATTTTCTGGGAAACTCTGAAAGCCTCATTAAAATGGATCTAAAAGTGCCATGGCAGAAACAAGGTATCACTGGAATTTTCTGTCTTCATCCATTTTTTTCTAAGTCATCCCAGGTAGACTGGCAAAGATGAGAAACTGTATCTTGTTCTGTACTTCTAATTCCCTGTCCTTCTTTTTTTCTTTTTCCTGTTGCCTGACTACATCTATTTGCTCACCTTCTCTCTTAACTCTTTAAAAGCGGAAAGGTAATAATTATCTTATTGTCTCTGAACTTTATTTTCATATTCAGGAGATGGTCCTTGCTGATTATTTACATACTGCTGATTTTTTTTAAAACTTCATAATATTTACTACTTAACAGATGAGAGGGAATTTCATTACGGGTTCCGGGGTAGAAATTGTTTTCTTGTTTTAACATATTACCTTTCTTCATATAACCCAGAAGTCAGGCTTATCATTGATTTTTCAGCAAGTTACATGACAATATTTACCTTAGACCAATTAATATTTCAAGAAAAATATATTGAACTATATGTGCTGTACAATGTTGAGCTAGGTTCTGAGGGCACAAAGAACAATAAGATGGGGCTTCTGAATTTGGAATGATAGCATCTGAGTAGAGAAATATAGAAAATAAACTAAGTGTAAAAAAAATATGGTAAATTTTCAAATGAAGTAGCATGTAATGGAAACATAGAAGGGAGGCCACCTTGTGGAAGTTCAGGTAAGCCTTTTACTTACCTGAACCTAGAACTGGGTGTTAAAAGACAAAACGGTTTTAGACAGAAAGCATTACCCAGAATTATTGGACCCTAAACCTAAATCTTGACATCTACTTATCTTCCCCAGGTCCACCCACAAACAAACAAACAAACAAACACTGAATACCTTTCTGACATTTTTTGCCATAATAACTCTCATTACTCCTTTCAAATCTTTACTGTTGACTCTTTCTTCAGAATTAGATGTTAGAAGCTTCTCACTGTGAAAGCTACTCTAAGAAGTCCAGTTTACATTTATCTTTCAAATTCCATTGGTATTTAGAAAATGTCTTTTTGAAACTTAAAACAATTTCAGAGGGACCAGGAGGAAGCATCTGTTTCACACTTGATTCTTTAACATCACAAGTTCATTGTTAACTCTAGCACACTGACCATTAGAGAAAGTAGGTAAAAAATACACTTTCTACACGGGACTGTAGAGATAAACCTGCTGAGTCTGTGAAAACACAGTGGGAAGCTCTCCACCGATTTAGTCAAGGCTTCTATGTCATAACAATTATTTGAGGTTGAAAATACCCCACAGAGTTGTGTCAGAAGTGACTCAGAAGGATTCAGTTGGGCAAAGAAATTGGGGAAGTAGTATTTTCCACACATTACAATGTCCTTTTATTGATCAGTCAAGTAGTTCATCAAATAGATATTGATAAACTAAGTGTTGATTTACCAGTATCTGGTCTAAATGCATTGAACCAGAGAGACAAATTCTGGTTCTTATGAGACCTATATGTTAGTCATTGATGACAATGAGCAAGTTAAACTGACAAAGAACAAGAGAAATAAACAAATAAATAAACAAGTAAGTAAATAAATGGCATAGCTTTGGAAGATTATTATAAAATGATCTATGTGTAAAATGGAGAAAAGATTTTCTTACTGTCATGTCTAAGTATAGTGAATATTGGCTTTTCAAAAAAGTACCTCTATAGTCTTCACCCCCTTTTTCCTTTAGAGGAGGAATTTTGCATTTCAAGTAGCTTTGGTGCAAGGTTGTACTACATGCTCTAGAACTAAAACTAAAAGGATCAGACTGTGTCTTACCTCACCTGCGAGAACCAGGGCATAGAAATGTGAATTAGCTTAGCTAATTGCATACTCCTGCCCAGAATTTTGAATCTTGATCAAATGATGCAAATGATGCTGTAGGATACTTCTAGAAATCATTCACTGCATCAGCTACAGAGGGGTACCCAAACTTTTCTTTTTAAAAAGAAAAAGTTGGGGGAACCTTCAAGTTGGCAGAGGAGTAAGATGTGGAGATCACCTTCCTCACCACAGATACATCAAAAATACATCTACATGTGGAACAACTCCTACAGCACACCTACTGAACTCTGGCAGAAGATCTCAGACTTCCCAAAAGGCAAGAAACTCCCCATGTACCTGTGTAGGGTAAAAGAAAAAAGGAAAAACAGAGACAAAAGAATAGGGACAGGACCTGCACCTCTGGGAGGGAGCTGTGAAGGAGGAAAAGTTTCCACACACTAGGAAGCCCCTTCACTGGTGGAGACGGGGGGTGGGCAGGGGAAAGCTTCAGAGCCACGGAGGAGAGCACAGCAAGAGGGGTGCAGAGGGCAAAGCAGAGAGATTCCTGCACAGAAGATTGCTGCCGACCACCACTCACCAGCCTGAGGCTTGTCTGCTCACCTACTGGGGCGGGCAGGGGCTGGGAGCTGAGGCTTGGGCTTCGGAGGTCAAATCCCAGGGAGAGGACTGGGGTTGGCTGCGTGAACACAGCCTGAGGGGGCTAGTGCTCCACAGCTAGCCAGGAGGGAGTCCGGGAAAAAGTCTGGAACTGTCTAAGAGTCAAGAGACCACTGTTTCAGGGTGTGCAAGGCAAGGGGATTCAGTGCACCACCTAAAAGAGCTCCAGAGATGGGTGCGAACCGCGGCTATCAGCATAGACACCAGAGAGGGGCATGAAATGCTAAGACTGCTGCTGCAGCCAGCAAAAAGCCTGTGTGCAAGTACAGGTCACTATCCACACTTCCCCTCCTGGGAGCCTGTGCAGCCCGCCACTGCCAGGGTCCCATGATCCAAGGACAACTCCCCCAGGAGAACACACAGTGCACCTCAGGCTGTTGCAACATCACGATGGCCTCTGCCACCACAGGCTCGCCCTGCATTCCGTACCCCTCTCTCCCACCCGCCCCCAGCCTGAGTGAGCCAGAGCCCCCCTAATCAGCTGCTACTTTAACCCTGGCCTGCCTGGGAACAGACGCCCTCAGGTAGCCTACACACAGAGGCAGGGCCAAATCCAAAGCTGAACCCCAGGAGCTGTGTGAACAAAGAAGAGAAGGGGAAATCTCTCTGTGCAGGCTCAGGAGAAGCCTGTCAAATCTCCACAGTCAACTTGATGTACCCTGCATCC